TCCACAGTCTAAGAGTCCACACACCAGTTCAGCCTAAAACCGATGAGAAACTCGCATTCGCAATAGGCTCCAAGGTGAGACCTTATTTCTGCTTTAACCTGGCTTAAACTTACACACTAGTGCACTGTAGTGAATCGCGGTATTCTGGTTCTTTGGGGACTGTATATTTGGTTATATTAATGTGCCTCCTATTTTTTCTCCTTTACAGACTGACAGTATCACAAAACTTGTTAGTACTTTTTAAATCCTGAAATGTTTCCTGTGTTATTAAAAGTCCATACCTGTTTGTTACATAAGAATTTCTGAAAGTGATTAATGGCTAAAAAGGAAATATAATATCTCCCAAATGCTCCTTCAGCTCTAACTTCCATCAGATCCATGTGTAATCTTATCTGTTCGAGTTGTGGAAGCTGTGGAGCATTGAAAACTGTCACACAGCGACATCTGTTGGTGCGCAGTAATTATTGCAGCCAGAAATTCAAGGCTGTGAAGCACCTTGTTGATTTCATAGTTTTAATCTGTTATGTGCCTGAGAATTCTGTGTATTCATTGTTTTCTGCTGATAACCTTCCGTTAAAGTGCTTCAGTAAATGTGTTATGTATGTGAAAACATTATGGGTGTGATTTTTAAAATGTCTTGCTCCAGAGATTTGTTGCCATCACTGCAAACAGTATGAAATTCTGGATAAATTCACATATTTACAATATAGGTTTTGAATCCATTTATTTCTGTAAAGCTGCTTTGTGACAATGTCCATTGTTAAAAGCGCTATACAAATAAAACTGAATTGAATTGAATTGAATGGAATGAAAGTGTATAAGCGCCAATCAGTCGAATGTTATGATTACTAATTAAACATTAGAGTTCATGTTGTATTAAGTACTGTATATTCATGGGTTTGATTTGCACAAGTAGTCCATGTGAAGGGAGAACAGGGTTGCTGTGAGGAAAGGTGAGTGAAGAAAGGTGAAAGAAGACCATATCACCATATGGGATGTTTGTGCAGGATGCTGGTGTGATTAGGTATTGAATTGCAACTTAAAGCAATTTATGAGTTACTCAGTAGTTTAATGAGTTGCTCGGTAGTTTAATGGGTCCTCTGACGCTGGGACTCTAAAATACCTAAACAGACAGAAGGAACATCTAATCATTTAATCTGATCCAATGTCTTCAACAGCAGAAATCAACACAGAACATACACTATATGGCCAAAAGTATACGGACACCTGACCATCACACCCATATGTGGGCCCTTTATTTGCAGTGAAGGAAATTGTACCCTTTATTTACAAAGGCATTCTATACAGTTGTGTGCTTCCAACTTTGTGGGAACAGTTTGGGGAAGAACCTCGTATGGATGTGACGGTCAGGTTAGATTTTGGTCATATAGCGTACTTTACCTCTGGACCTCAGCAGTGTCAAACAGACCCCAGAGCTTTCTGTCAGCTGAGTGCTGTGGTGTTGATGGTGGTACCAATTACGGTGAAGGTGCAGGAACAATGAAACGGGGACATTCCCTCGTCAGCCTTTTCACAGCTGCCTGAGCATAACGGACATTACAGAATCCCAGCTATTTTAAGCCAAAGACAGGGCTGTCATCTTCTCTCACTCAAGATGTTTTTAACATTATTGGCCAATTTGAGACCGAAGTACCCTCTGACCTCCGCACATGTCTTGCTATATGATGTTTTAACATCTTCACAAGAGGAATGGCTTTAGACCCAGCCAGCCATTTCTTTCAGGCTTAGTGAAATGACCGGAGTACCTGAAGGCCCTGGTGGATTGTCTCCTACTCCTCAGCAGAGAAAGTCAGAAGATCAGTGTTCAGACTGGTGAGGGCTGCTCCCAGTGGTTCTCTCTGATCCTGCAGCATTTGAAGCATAGCTTTAGTGCTGTTCCACCAGCTATCAACCTCCTGAATGAGCTTGAGCTGTGGCCTGCCCAGTTGTTCCTGGATTTCACAAAGCTTTTGCTTGGATTATGGTGCCTGATTTAAATTGCCCCACAATTCTGCATACTCAAGTCCTCAAGCTCGGAGTTTGAGCAAGAGACTTTTACATTTACACTGAAGACAGGACAGTAAATAAACACAACAGAAAAATACACACGACAGTATATAAACAGGACAGTAAATAAACAGGGCAGCAAATAAACAGGACTATATACACAGAGCAGTAAATAAACAGGGCAGTAAATAAACAGGACTATATACACAGAACAGTAAATACACAGAGCAGTAAATAAACAGGACTATATACACAGAGCAGTAAATACACAGAGCAGTAAATAAACAGGACTATATACACAGAGCAGTAAATACACAGAGCAGTAAATAAACA